TTTGTACATTTGGATCTACATTTTTAAAGATTGTTCATTTGTACATTTGGATCTACATTTTTAAAGATTGTTCATTTGTACATTCGGATCTACATTTTTAAAGATTGTTCATTTGTACATTCGGATCTATATATATATTTTTTTTAATAATTATATTTATTGGTTTTTAACGTTTTGACAAACAAACGAATACAATACAAGACAAGAACAAGAGAACAATCCAGATCTTAGAGTTACATACCTATATACGAGCATATGCGTACACATACACACATATACATACCTACCAAAGAGAAAGGGATCTATATTTTTAAACATTGTATTTTTCAGTTTTACCATTCCTGTCCTATATTTTTATTTCTACATTTTATTTCTTGCTTCTCATAGAAGTGTTGTGTTGTGCACCAAACACCAAGGCAAAAAATTCCTTGTAAGTCTAAAAACCTACTTGGCAATAAACCTTATTCTGGTTCTGATTCTGATTCTCCCTTTCCCCCCCCCCAGAGCTCCTGGGGCAGGTCCACGCCATCGGGAAGTCCAGCAGGAACATTTTCAGCGCGGCCCAGAGCTTTTCTGTGGGGGGGGAGGACGCCTGCTCCCATTCGCCCGTGGTCAGCTTTAAGGCCCACCTGATCAGGCTCATCGGAAACCTGTGTCACGGCCACGCCCACAACCAGGACAAGGTTAATATATTTATTATTTCTCCTGTTATATGAGGCACTAGCGTTAATTTCATCAGGTTAGGAGCCGATTGGGAGAGCTGAGTTTGTCCTTTAAATGGGGGATCAGACTTTAAAATAAAACCGGATCTAGGGTCTGGATCTACATTTTCTCCTCCAGATATCGGATCGGGACGATTCTACGTCCAAAAGCTGCTGGAGCATTTTCCACATGTTTAAAATGAGAAATTTGAACCATAAACGTTGTAGTTAATATGAAGTAACTGCAGTTTTTCAGTGAGTTTTCAGCAGATTTATTCTCTGTTCATGAATGCTTTGCTTCATCCCAATCGCCAGGTTTAAATGACATTTTTCCTCTGATGATTACTCATTTTTAACGGAGCCAGTCTGGATTTTTCTGTTTGGAAAATGCACCAAACCAAGGAAAAAAAAATCCTCTGCTAATCTAAATGTCTCCAACTAACAAACCCACCCAGAAAACTAAAAATCCTCCTTCTAGTCATGCAGATTGCAGCACGTCTGCAGAGTCCCGGGGACTTTTTTAGGTCTGTGCTTCGATCTGAGGCCATTTGCTTAATTTTTGACCGTTTTCTGAGTTAAATGAGGATGTTTGGAGCTCGGCTCTCATAATGAATTCACATCTCCGACCTCCTGATGGCTGGAGATAACTCATTGACTGCCAGAGTTTTTTGAGCATTTTGACTGATTTTTCAAGAGCCACA